TATTAAACGGGATATTGCTCCCCCAATAGTCTGGTTTAAAAAGGAGGAAAATTTATTTTAGACTTGCTATTACTTCAAGGCCTTAATGTAAAACCGGTGGGAAGCGGGGCCCCATGCCCTTAATAATTTGCGATCTCAAAAAATTTTTTTTTACTCTTCCCTTTTTTTTCAGAGATTTATTTGCACAGGCAAATCACAAATAATGTTAGATCCTTTCTTTTAAGCAGTACAAAACCCCTTTTCCACACACCCCAAAGGGCTGATGCAGTATAGAACTATTCCCTTTTGGGTTTGGGAACTCCCCGTGCTACCTACGTGGACTGATGAAAAGGGCTTGGGTTTAAAATGCCAAAGTTTTCAGTTTTTTTTTGACAACATTTACCCTAATACAAACTACGTGGGCGAAAATAACCAAAATTAACTTAGTTTTTTCGTAGGGTTAAAGCCACTGGCCTCACTGCCCAACCGGGAAAATCTTCCTTGGGGATAACAAGATTTAAAATATCCTTTGGGCGTACTTTCTAATAACTTTTCTGCAGCCCCTCCTCAAATAAAATCTAACTTTATTAAATTTAAAATTTCCCCAAAACCCAAAAAGCTCATACGAAACCCTTTCTTGGGTTTTGGAAAATTTTTTTTGCACGGGTTAAACCCGAACCCCTTCTGATTTTTACAGGCAATTTTCCAAAATTTCCCTTAAAAAATCTGTGAAGGGAAACCCCTTGAACTTTTTCCGAAAGTAGCCGGGAAAAATTTTTAAAGAGATTTTAAAATAACTTTTCGAAAGACCCTTTTACTTAAGAAATTCCCGATATTAATTTTAAAAAATTTTTTTTTGAGAACTGGAAAGCCTCCAAATTTCGGCTTAGGTGTGGTGTTTTTTTAAAAAAATTAAAAATACCATGATGGAAATCCCTTCCCTTTTATGCTTCCTAAGCCCGGAAAATCCTTCCCGCAGAAACCCAAAAATACTCCACAAAAGAAAAGGAATGTTTAACCCCTTTGTGGGGGCCCCCAAACTTAAATTTATTTTGCGGGAAAAGAATTTTATTTTTTGAAACGGACCACAAACCCTTTTATATAAACCCAGAAAATTTTAAGGGAAACCCAACCCTCGCCTCTTTAAAGGGGGACTTGGCCCCCCAGGGTTTTAAGTTTCCCTATTGGGGTATAACAATGGTTCATCCAAATTAAATTTTTCTGACTGGTTAAGTCATGACAGTCAGGGAAAGATTTTTTGCCTTTTCGGGGACTTCCCCATGTTAGAACTTTTTCCTCGCCCATTTTTCTTATAAATCCCCCGAAATATAAATCTTGGGATGGGGGTTGAGGGGAAAAATTCAAAAGATAGGAGGGAGAGATATAGTAAAGATAGTTTTTTATTAAACCCGGGTACTATTTTAAGGGTAGGGGGAAGTCAAGCTCCCCCCTTTCTTCCCCCCCCCCCCAAAGTGATAGTTTCATTGCTGGCTACTTTTTAAGGAAGGGGAATCACGCTCCCGATTTTTTTTTCCCCTTTTCCCCCACCCCCAAAAAGTGATAGTTTGAAATTTCCCCCCTTCTTTTTAACGTAGGGTCAGTCTAGCTCCCCGCTATCCCCCTTCCCCCCCCTCTTTTCCCCCCCCCCCTCGAAAGGGGACTTGGGGGGGCCCTGTTCAAACAGTAAATCCCTCGACCACACTCCCAACACTACTGTAAGTACATGCCTGCCTTGTATTCTAGTGGATTTATTGGTTAAAAGCTTCACTTATGACCAATAATAAACTTAGGCCTTTCAGTCTTGCTCTAGGTTGACTGTTGTAATAATCACCACGTCTTTTGAGTATTGTACACTGCCATGGAGAGTGATTATTTAACCCTTTGACTGTTTCAGGCCCCTCTCTGAAACTGTCATTCTATGTCGCCAAATATTCAAAAAAAAAAATATTATTTTTTCTTATGAAAATGTTAAGATTATTTTTCCGAGTGTTTTAGTCCAAAAAAAAAAATTTTGCCATCAGTACTTACCGAGATATAGAGCCGTGAAGTTTGCAGAAAATGAGCCGCGTATGGCAACAGCGGCGACTGCCGCTCACCCGGTAAACTTTAGTTTACTTGTAATTGAAGGTTTTTTGTTTTTTTTCACTATTTTATTTTTTTCCCCATAACTTATGTGGCCTATGAGACCAAAGTAAGGTGCAATGTATATATTACACTCGTTGTATACAACACAATAAGCACACAAACATAATTAAACAATATATTGTTTACAAAACTTGTTTACAAAAACAAACAATCATCCTCCTCCTCCTCCCTTTTCCTCCTCCCTTTTCCTTCTCCTCCTCCTCCTCCTTCTCCTCCTCCTTCTCCTTCTCCTCCCCCTCCTCCTCCTTCTCCTCCCCCTCCTCCTCCTTCCCCCTCCTCCTCCTCCTCCTCCTCCTCCTCCTCCTCCTCCTCCTTCTCCTCCCCCCTTCTCCTCCTCCCCTCCTCCTCCTCCTTCTCCTCCTTTCCTTCTCCTCCCCCTTCTCCTCCTCCTTCTCCTCCTCCTTGTCTTGTGTGCGAGTGTGTGGCTTATAATTGTTTTGATCAGAAGTCGGCAGCTGTCAAAGTGACATATTGTCTCATTACTTACTCCCCCTCCTGCCTGTCAAAACAATGGGGTCGGATGCTGCTTCCCCTCCTCCATTCTATCTAATTATCTTTCCCCTCATTCTATATCTTTCAATCTGTTCTCTTTCTAATCTGTCTCCCTATCTCTGTCTCACAGGTACACATAAATACAAGTATACATAGTGTAAATTACCTAGGAACCCAAAGAAACCCAGACAAAGTGCTATACTCTGCTTTAAGATGTGAGTAAACGGGGAATGACACAGTCTCGTGGCTCTCTCTGAGACAGAGAGCTAGATGGACAGACAGGGAGCTTGACAGACGCCCAAATAGACAGACAGAAATGTTTGTTTACCAGCAAAAACAAAGGGAGGGCGATGTCATGTAATATTACCCTCCTTTACACTCATCAAAGTCAGCTCTTATCAGATGTTATCTCCCTTATCTTGTCACTGTCATGGGGTGGACTTTTTTTTTTCTTGCTTCAAGGGAACAATATTATTACATTTTCTTCTTCTTCCTCCTCCTCCTCCTCCTCCTCTTCTCCTCCTCCTCCCCCCTCCTCCTCTTCCTCCTCCTCCTCTTCCTCTTCCCTTCCTTCCCTCCTCCTCCTCCTCTTCCTCCCCTCCTCCCCCTCCCCCCTCCTCCTCCATTGCTTTTGGTCTCAACTCCTCCAAATCATGAAATTGATCTTCACTGACACTTCCATCTGTGTTAGAGCATCACTTGGGAAGAGAAGAGTCCCAGATTTGCTGGGGAATCACATATTTCTTACCGCTAGACATGCTGAAAAAGGACAACTGAAATGGCATTCCCACAATGCACCACTGGCTCCCCGATTTTTTTTATATGGTGCACACTGACCATGGAGACCCATTCTCTCACATGTGGGCCTACCAGCTTTCTCCTGCTTGATTTGAAGCTGCTAGAATTTATGCGTATAAATACGTCAGAAACATTGGCTCGTAAGACGTATTTATACGTCGGAAACAGTCAAAGGGTTAAGCAGTGGGTAACCTGTCTATCTTTTCAGCTTGGATGACAGTGAGGGTCACCTGTCAATCAACGAGAAGAACGGATGGAGAAGGACTAACGTCCAGAGACTTCCCCATTTTGGATCTAAGTACCTGTGTACCTGTATGAAATTGCAGGACGTAACCCCTCATCATTGCAGCGGTAAAGAACCTGCTTTCCTGTCATCGGGATAATAATCACGGCGATTCTCTGTGAAGAACTAGCCAGTGGTGGTCACCAACACCTGCGACCCCCCCCCCATCATCAGCAACGGCTACGATTTCAATAAGCAGTGTCACCAACACCAGACACCCAAGTTTTAAATTAGCGTTGAATTCAGTTATCATTTATATTTTTCATTTTTCATTTTCTTTAATGTAGGATTAATATTTCATATTTAAGTGTTTTATATTTTCTATATAATAAAGTGTTTATGTTTGTCTGTTATTATTTCTTTTTCTATTCACTAATTTTCCTGAGGAGGAGCCAGCCTGGGTAATACTGTCTGAAGTTGTTACAGGGCTGAGTAAGCCTTCACACTCTCTCCCTCCAATTTGATATTTCCAATCTTTCATTACCTAAATTTTTTATCCTCATCACCTTACTCTCTCTTATGTTCACTTTTAATTTCCTTCATAAAGAACTCCACATTTATGTAATTCTTTAGTACTAGGAAGTTTTAATCTTCGTCTAAGTACAGTATGCTCAAATGCTGAGCATACTACTAGTATTTCATATCACTATACAGCATATATATAACATTTTGAAAACAAATTTTAAATTATTAATTTGAATTTGAAACAAAGCTTGTCTAGATTCCCCTCCCTTCATGAAGGACAAGACTGACACTATATTTACTTGCTTTATGCATCTACCATGCTACGTCAATGCCTCTATGTACACTGAATTAACTTATTACTGTATCTTTTTATTTATTTTATTATTTTTATTATCACACTGGCCGATTCCCACCAAGGCAGGGTGGCCCGAAAAAGAAAAACTTTCACCATCATTCACTCCATCACTGTCTTGCCAGAAGGGTGCTTTACACTACAGTTTTTAAACTGCAACATTAACACCCCTCCTTCAGAGTGCAGGCACTGTACTTCCCATCTCCAGGACTCAAGTCCGGCCTGCCGGTTTCCCTGAACCCCTTCATAAATGTTACTTTGCTCACACTCCAACAGCACGTCAAGTATTAAAAACCATTTGTCTCTATTCACTCCTATCAAACACGCTCACGCATGCCTGCTGGAAGTCCAAGCCCCTCACACACAAAACCTCCTTTACCCCCTCCCTCCAACCTTTCCTAGGCCGACCCCTACCCCGGGGTTGGGGTAGGGGTCGGCACTAGGTAGCACATCAACAGTCTCTTCATAAAAAAAAATAAAACTTACTTGATACATCTCTTCGGTTTTGGTATAAATGGATCATTCAGAAATTGACGCAGGATTTCAGTGCACTTTTCAGAGACAACATCAAATGGAAGAGTCTCCATGTACTTGGCTTCCTCTCCTGAGATCCATCCTAAGAGAAGTGTTTCAGTTACTTTGGTAAATGAGTAAATCTTCTTGAACCAACGCTCATTCACTGGTTCCTTGGGGTCTATTGGGTCCCATAAACACAGCACTTCTGACAAACCAGGGTTCAGAAATGGTCGTTCATACTCCAAATATATTTTATCTACTACACCAAAGCACAGCCTGTCAATAGAGTCCATCTTATAATCTGGCAGTGGTGGATCAAATAGTGTCTTTCCACTTTCTTTTAGCACTCCTAATGGTATAGTACATATTACATGATCTGCACAAAACTTTTTGCCATTTTTACAAATCACTTCCACCTTTGGTCGAATTTTCTTTGAAGGTGAAGTAACTACAGATGCATTCCCACTCCTGCATTCAGGAAGGTGAGCCTCAGAGTTCATTAAGGGTTTGTTTGTAAAATCTTCTTCTAGTCCAGAATCAGTAGTATTAAACCCCTGCAACCCTGCTCTCCACCTGATGGACATCACTGGATGCCCTTTTAAGAGATGTTCATCAGGAATGTCTTTTGTAAGTGGACCAAGAATACTGCTGTAACCTCCTGGCAATACAATATTACCTCCTGGAAGCTCAGTATAACTACCAATTTCCATTAGATCAATTTCATCCATCGAATCACAACCACTTATACACGTTTCACGGTTGAGGAGATAATTAAAAATGAGGTTTCTAATGTGTCTCTCATGCTTTGGAAACTGTTCAAGATATATGGATATCTCCAATCTGAGATGAGCTCCTACACTTTCAACACCATCTGGAGGTAGATATTTGCAGAGGAAATATTCTTCACACCGCTTGAAGAACCAGAAGTATGCATCATAAATCTCCTGAAAGACAAATAAAATAATGAATAATAGAATCATTTATCTTAACATTTCAGTTCATTATACTGTAGATGAATATAGGGAAGTAAAGCCAAAGGTCTACAGTGGACATCCATTAAACAGTACAATATATCTGATGAAGAAAGATTGTACAGTAGATTTTTTTTACCTATGCCTGTAGTGCTCATCCATCAAACTGAAACACATGTCCACTGAATTACAGAAAGAACAATTCAAAGCAAAATGTTTTATATAGATGCAGTTTGTACATGTGAAGTTCACAGAGCAGCTGTTCCTTACAGCATTCCTAAAGGTCTCTCTGAACCCAAAAACCATAAATAACTAAGTGCTATTCATAGTTCATTTCATCTTTCACAGACATGTCCACTGACAAGTTCACTCCCAAATATCAGAACACATTCATTTCCTTCATACTCCCTATTTCAAATTTCTAAGTTTTGACTGATGGTACTATCTAAAAACAAGTAGAATTTTGATGGGAGGTGACTGTTTCCAAATTTTTATTTCTACATCAAATAATACTTGCAATGTGTGTGTACCGTACGTGCATGTTTTCTGCAACAGTTACAGTAGGGCCCCGCTTTACGGCATTCCGCTAATACAGACATTTCAAATTAGGACCAAAACTCGCTATACGGATCCCCCCCACCTGACTTTCTAATATGGTCACAGCGCCCCACCTGATTTGTTTACATTCTCGGTGAGCTCCATGAGCACCGTGTCTCTCCATCATGTCTGGAAACTCCAAAATTTCAAGCGTTTTTAAAAGTTATTTCATACGTTATATATACTCAGATAATTATCTTTGTGTATACTGGTACCAAAATAAATTTACACACTGTGCTGGCATGCAGATACACATTAAAATCAGTAAGAGTGTCTAATGTCTCAAGACACCATATTGGTTGTTCAATATATTTATAGATGGGGTTGTAAGAGAAGTGAATGCTAGGGTCTTGGCAAGAATTGTGGAGTTAAAAGATAAAGAATCAAACACAAAGTGGGAGTTGTCACAGTTGCTCTTTGCTGATGACACGGTGCTTTTGGGAGATTCTGAAGAGAAGTTGCAGAGGTTGGTGGATGAATTTGGTAGGGTATGTAAAAGAAGAAAATTAAAAGTGAAAATAAGAAAGAGTAAGGTTATGAGGACAACAAAAAGATTAGGTGACGAAAGACTGGATATCAGATTGGAGGGAGAGAGTATGGAGGAGGTGAATGTATTCAGATATTTAGGAGTGGACGTGTCAGCAGATGGGTCTATGAAGGCTGAGCTGAATCACAGAACTGATGAGGGTAAAAGGGTGAGTAGTGCACTTAGGAGTCTGTGGAGACAAAGAACTTTGTCCGTGGAAGCAAAGAGGGGAATGTATGATAGTTGTACCAACACTCTTGTATGGGTGTGAAGCATGGGTGATGAATGTTGCAACGAGGAGAAAGCTGGAGGCAGTGGAGATGTCATGTCTGAGGGCAATGTGTGGTGTGAATATAATGTAGAGAATTCGTAGTTCAGAAATTAGGAGGTGTGGGATTACCAAAACTATTATCCAGAGGGCTGAGGAGGGGTTGTTGATGTGGTTCAGACATGTAGAGAGAATGGAACAAAACAGAATGACTTCGAGAGTGTATAAATCTGTAGCGGAGGGAAGGCGGGGTACAGGTCGGCCTAGGAAGGGTTGGAGGGAGGGGGTAAAGGAGGTTTAGTGTGCGAGGGCTTGGACTTCCAGCAAGCGTGCATGAGTGTATTTGATAGAAGTGAATGGACACAAATGATTTTTAGTACTTGACGTACTGTTGGAGTGTGAGCAAAGTAACATTTATGAAGGGATTCAGGGAAACCGGCAGGCCGGACTTGAGTCCTGGAGATGGGAAGTACAGTGTCTACACTCTGAAGGAGGGGTGTTAATGTTGCAGTTTTATAACTGTAGTGTAAAGCACCCCTCTGGCAAGACAGTGATGGAGTGAATGATGACGAAAGTTTTTTTTTCGGGCCACCCTGCCTTGGTGGGAATCGGCTGATGTGTTAATAAAAAAAAAATAATAATAATAATACTCGATAGTAATCCCCGAGTTTCATTAAATGTCGTATATTACGTTAATATACACGTTTTCACTAATCCATCTATATTTTTTCAAAATTATATAATAAACATGATACATAACATATAAACATGATAAATACATTCCACAATAAAATAAATTAACATAAAGATGAGATGTGGTAGCCAGACGACTTGTACAAGTGACAGCAAGAATAATGCTATCTCTGGTCCAACATCAGAGAAAATGTGTTACTGGGGGTAACTGTAGAAAATTATTCCTTTTGTATGCCTTCACTCAGAGCATCATTTCTTCTAAAAATGGCATTACACAAGAATGGGAGCGTTCCTCTTTTTTTTTTTTTTTTATTTTACTGTATCAATGTGGAGACAACTTGTATACAACGTAACTTGTACACAAACCAGACGCATACATCTGGTTTGCTTGCAAAACTCGTGTCTGCCTGGTTTGTTTACATAACTCCGTGCCTGTCCTCTCTCATGTACTCATTTTCTCTCTCTCTCTCTCTCTCTCTCTCTTTTTTACCCATGGTTTGACAAGGTTAAGGATCCCTAGCTTTATTGACAAGCTATTTACAGGTTAAGGATTCCTAACTTTATTGGCAAGCTAAGAGCTGTTCTCTCTCTCTCATTTATTCGCTTCATCAAGTTTGCTCACCAATGACCCTACATTAAGACTACAAATATTTTAAGGTAAGTAATGAGCGAACTGTATATGCATTTTATCACTCTGGGACACTTTAACCCTTTGACTATTGAAACCCCATATCCTGAAGTGTGTGTGTTGCAAAATATTCGAAAAAAAAAATCTTATGAAATGATAATCTTTTCCCAACGGTAATGACACCAAAAGTACGAAATTTGATGGAAAACTTAAAGAATTACGCTCTCTCGAAGTTAGCGATCTCAGTGATACATACGCATCGGCAATTCTGCCCACTCTGAGCCCTATTCTCGACCAATTCCACTGTTCCAGTCAACCAAACTCATAGCTATTTCTTTAGAACTCCATTTGTTCTATCGACAAGAAAATGCCCATTTACCAATTTCAACTACCCAATAAAGTGGTCAGAAAATGGCAATTTGGCAAATTTCACGCAAATTAAAAAAGATGCCAATTTCAAAATAGGGTCCAGAATAAACAATGCAGACATTCAAGGCTCTAAAATAACATTTTTCTCTGTTCATTAGTCACCTCTCCAGGCCCCTCTTATATTACTCTTGCTTTCTATTTTGAATTTTTATTCACATAAAAAAATAGAAGATTTACTGTTATGTAGCCTACTGCATTGTAATAATTGTATAAATATAATGTCAACCCATTCGTGACTGCGTATTAGAATGGCTAGTTGGACACTTACTGGATAGTGACATCATTTATTTACTCTTGAACATCAGAATAAATCAAACATTTCTGCTATTTTGAGCTCAATTTCAAGGTCCTTTTCATCATGAAACCAATCAAAATCATCTCTATTTCTGTAATACATCTTCCATTCTATCAAATGAGACCAAGAAAACAAGAATACAACCATAAATACTATACGGAAATACACCTCAAATTTGGCGTTTTAATCCAAAAACAGTTTTTTTTTTCTCCTCATGCACTGCAGGATTTTTTATACTGTGTACACTGACAACACAGACCCATTCTCTCACATGTGGGCCTACCAGCTTTCTCCCGCTTGATTTGAAACTGCTAGAATTTTGGCGTAATAATACGTCAAAAACACTGGCTCGTAAGACGAATACATACGACACCGACAGTCAAAGAGTTAAATGTCATAGAACATTATGTGTGGGTGGGGTGGCCTGGTACAGTAGGTATGGTAGCCTGCCTGGCTATGATACATAACACACTTGATTTCTTACAATAAATACTTCTCATCTCACCCTACATTATGACTTCAAATATTTTAAGGTAACTAATGAGTGTACAGGTCAGCCATCACTAGTATCCAGCATCACTGGGACCTGTAGTGTGCCAGATTAGTGAGTTTGCCCGATTACAGAGTGGTTAGGTTAGAATACATTTAATTAACCTATCAATAGAGACTGCTACATCTTCCTCATTTTCATCACTGCTTTCTCCTCCACTGGCTTGCTGCTGTCGATTTACAACCATCTGCACAATTTCTGAGTCAGTATAATGATTTGAGTCGGCATAATGATGAAATTTGAAAATATGCTAGCTGAAATTAGTGCCTGATTACTGATAGAACTGAATACAACTACCATCTGACTTACGACCTGCTCGACATATGACCATTCAACCTACGACCATGTTTTCTATACCAAATTTCTGGGAAATAAACAACTGTTTGTGTTGTACACAGTGTTTATCCTAAACCTTACAGTATAAAATGCTGAACTAACAGCATAAAAAGTAAAGTAAAAAATGAAATACCATAATGAAACAAAATAAAGTCATTACAAAAAATGTGATATTGATATTCAGTAGTAAGGTTCGACTTACGTCCATTTCGACTTACGACCGGTTTGTTGGAACTGAACTCGGTCGTAAGTCGGATGGTACCTGTACATGTGACTGATTGCCGGATTAGTGATGGCCGACCAGTACTATATGTACATTTTACTTTTTTATTGTTTTTAATGCCTAGTTAAAAATAAGAATAAGAAGTTTATTTTGACAAGATACATGGTTGTACAGAGGAATATAATAGTTGGGTGTACATGCCAAAAGCCCTTTTGTATGCAGAGCATTTCGGGAAAACTTAAAAATTAACTTAAGATTAAGAAGGCAATAATAGTTCATATGGTCATTAGATAAGTTACAGTAAGTACAAGAGAATATTCTATTAGGTAATGCTACATGGCTTTGATAAGTCTAGCAGAGAATAATTACACTATTGAATTAGTTTATAAAGATTACAGTATTACAATAGAACAAACCATACCACAGGA